CTCAGCCTCCCAAGAAGCTGGGACCACAGGCGCCTGCCACAACACCTGGCTATTTTTTGGTTGCAGCCATCATTGTTGTTTGGTGGGTCCAGGTTGGATTTGAACCCGCCACCTTAGGTGTATGTGGCTGGCGCCTTAGCCACTTGAGCCACAGGCACCAAGCCTGTTCATTCACTTTTATGCTTACATATTGAAATTTTTATCTAGTAGTCTGCAGACGGCAATTTGAATTCTTTAAATTCAAAAAAAAAATTGTTTGACAATTTCGTTCCTTTTTTTTTTTTTTTGTAGGGACAGAGTCTCATTTTATCACCCTCGGTAGAGTGCCATGGTGTCACACTGCTCACAGTAACCTCTAATTCCTGGGCTTAGACGATTCTCTTGCCTCAGCCTCCCAAGTATCTGGGACTATAGGTGCCTGCCACAACGTGGCCCAGCTATTTTTTTGTTGCAGTTCGGCCAGGGCCAGGTTTGAACCTGCTATCCTTGGTATATGGGGCTGGCACCCTACCCACTGAGCCACAGGCGCAGCCCTGATAATTTTCTTTAACTAGAAGAATTCTGCAATATCATATTAGGAAATAAAATGAGCAGGTGGCGCCTGTGGCTCAAAGGAGTAGGGCACCAGCCCCATATGCTGGAGGTGGCAGGTTCAAACCCAGCCCCAGCCAAAAACTGCAAAAAAAAAAATAAAGAAGTAAAGAAAATGAGCAAAACTTAATTTCTACACTGCTAATTATCAGTTTTGTTTTGTTTTCTTTTGTTTAAGACAGAATCTCACTTTGTCACCCTTAGTAGAGTACCATTGCATCACAGATCACAGCAACCTCAAACTCTTGGGCTGAAGTGATTCTCTTGCCTCAGCCTCCCACCTCCCTAGGACTACATGCGCCTGTCACGACACCCAGCTATTTTTTTTTTTTTTCAGAGACAAGGTCTTACTCTGCCTCAGTCTGTTCTGGAACTCAGGCAATCCACCCACCTTGGCCTCCAGGAGTGCTAGGATTACAGGCGTGAGCCACCACACCTGGCTAATTATCAGTTTTATTAAGACTCCAGATAGGCGCCTATAGCTCAGGGGCTAGGGCACCAGCCACATCCACAGAAGCTGGCGTGTTCAAATCCAGCCCAGGCCTGCCAAACAATGACAACTACAACCAAAAAATAGCCAGGCCTTGCTGCGGGCACCTGTAATCCCACCTACCTGGGAGGCTGAGGCAAGAGAATCACCTGAGCCCAAGAGTTTGAGGTTGCTGTGAGCTGTGTCACCACGGCACTCTACCTAGGGTGACAAAGTGAGACTCTGTATCAAAAAAAAAAAGGACTTGGGAGACGCCTGTGGCTCAGTGAGTAGGGCGCTGGCCCCATATACCGAGGGTGGCGGGTTCAAACCCAGCCCCGGCCAAACTGCAACAAAAAATAGCCGGGCGTTGTGGCGGGCGCCTGTAGTCCCAGCTACTTGGGAGGCTGAGGCAGAAGAATCGCCTAAG